TTTTCTCTGAGAAGTTTTTGCCTCCTATTAACAACATCAACAACATACATTTCACATTATATAAGTATATAAATCCATATTGTATGTGTAACCCAAAAAATCTTGATGTTGGAAGGGAAAATGAGTCCATATTAGCCATATATATCCACTAAAGATGTACACAATGTGTAAAGTTTATGTAGTTGTATCTTCTACTTTTGTCCCAGAGCACTGTTATTAACCCTTACTCTGAGCTGAATTGTTGGATGTACTGTAATATGCTGTTTCCTACTAAACTTACACTATTTTCCATGTTCCCCTAGGATAAAGACAAAGGCTCGTCAAACAAGACTCCTAAATTGGACCACAGCGATGGTGTCAAAGAGATGAAAGAGAAAGCTCCTAAGAGGAAGCTGCCCTTCACTGTTGGAGCCAATGGGGATCAGAAAGATTCTGACTCTGGTAAGGGGGCGGGGCCAATTCATAGCACAGAACTCTGGGTAACAGGAAGTGTGTGTGTGTTTGTGTGTGGGCTGCTGTTGTTGTTTTTCTTCAGTAATGTGTCCCGCAATGACAGATGTGCTGATGGAGAAACCATTAGTCGAGTAATTGGAAATTTGTTGGATATGACATGCTGAGAAGGGTGAGATATCATACTTAGTATTATTTATAGGGATCTTTTTGATGTAGATCAGCCTGAATCATTATAATTTTTGTTCAAGTACTTCATTTGATCCTAACTGAATGTGGGAGTTTAGAATTTAGATAAGCTGCACATTTATGTTGCAATTTGGCTATTTTTTCCATTTGTTTTGTTTTTAGCTTGTGTAGGGTTAGGGTTAGGGTTAGTGGTTTGAATGTATTTCAAGTTGTGTGGTTTGTTTTATGACTGTTATTTCTGCATGTTTTGCAGTCAAGGCGCAAGCCTCTCTGTAACCTTTTAGCAAGCCATTGGCAGAACCCCCCTCTCTTTTGAGACATGGCTGTAAGGCGTGAAATCTTGCCCATTTTCTCTCTCATCAGACAATGCCTGAAGTGCTCATTGTAATGCTAATAGGGGGTGTGGTCACATTCATTCTTTGATTGGCCTGTCTCTGTTGATCTCTCTTTCTCTGTCCATTCCAACACTTATTTTGCTCTAAACACTGAAGTACGGCTTTTGCATTTGTTTTATCTATTAATAACTAATCAATTGAATATTTCTTCAGTTTTCAAATTCAGTTTTCATCAGAGATTCAAATCCTCACTTTTAGGCCATACAATGGCAGCTACAGTCTCTGTGAAGGTAGCTTGGATTTTGTTGCATGTTTTTATGCTGCATCATTGTCTGTTCCTAATGGAATCCATCCAACTATTGGCTGTGCTCCACCTCATGCACCCTTACTGGGACTTTTTGATGTAGTTGAGCTGCTCTCTCCATGGTCTCCTCCCCCAATTGGAAGGTTTCCAGTACAGGACTAGTTAGATCTTCGTTCCATTACTGCAATGAGCTCACACAAACACCCTTTCGACTGCTGCTGAAAGTTGGACGCACGTTTAACGTTTTACTGCAATGGGAGCTTTTTAATTATGAAGCGTTAGCAGTTGCTACGAAAGCCATTATCAACCCAGTCTTGGCAGGGATGAAATGGAAAGGAAGATGTTAGGGCTGGGCAGTATAGCTAAAGAATGTATCTCTTGATATATTTCCAAATATTGGCGATAATTGATGTGGGAGGTGGGATGTGGTCACATCTGCAAAGGGGTGTTTAAAATCAGCGCCTATCAGTTGTCATAGTTGTGAAACATGAGTTAAATTGGCTTACTGTCTTTAAGCTCAACTTTTAACAGTATTGCGATTATTCCATAATTATATATCATCAGCAAAGATATCACAAAATCGCTATTTTGAAGCATCGCCTAGCCCTAGATGATGTTGCAGATGGAGACAGAGTGTTGGTTATTAGGCTGTAATAAGTTGGAGTTGATTCCCCAAAGAAACCAAACCTAAGAATAGCATGAGTACAGCAGAGATGGCGAGTTGGATGTGCTGATTTTGAAATTTTGGGTAATACTAAGCTGTTAATTGTTTTATGACCAATAACTGATATGATTATAAATCTAGGATGTTTTGTTTGTTTTTAAATCAACCAAACTTAGTTTTTAATTTGCATTAATTGAAAACTTAAATATAAAATGTTTGTTTTAATGATTTTATTCCATCTATGCATAACTAGCATCTGGCATGCAAAAAAAAAGATAATCTGTTTGAATTTGGGAAAAGCTATAGTATTGTTTATTGTAAAATTGTTGACAAAAATGTGGCTAAAAATAGCCAACAGTTATCATGTTCCTGGCACGGCAAGTAAAAAGTTGTTGCGTATATTGCGTGTAACTGAGTATCAAAGCCGAAGCCGAGGTAAAATGGAGCCAGCTTCACTGTGTCACCGAGGGTGTTTCCTGTCCTCCGTTTTCTGTAGAATTCCATTTGAAATACATAATTTATCTAGCTGATATTTTTACATCTCCCTCTCTGCATCTCTCTCATGGGCCCTCGGTGCATTCTGCATTCAGGGAGATGGCAGAGATCGTCTGTGCCTCTTAGCTCTAGTGCAGGAACAACCCACAAGGCCCATGAGCACTCAGGATACTTCCACCGTTCTTACTCTCCATCTCACTGTCTTCCTGCCTCCATCTTCTGTGTTTGCTCATTGCCTCTGCTGTGCTTTCTCAGGCCGCAGACATTATGTAGTGTTGCATTATGTAGTGCCACTGCTCTGAAGAGCCTTCGCTAGTGGCAATGCATTTAGCATGCAAATAACAATGCATTTCCAGAGGATATTACAGACACTGTATAGCTTATGAGGTGCTTTTTTGGTATACGCACTGAATGGTTGGAGAACTTTGGGAACGTGGGCTATAGCAGACGGTGGATGTGAGCTGTGGAGGGAGAATGTTGTGGATAAGGGTGAAGGGAGTGGGTTGGCTGATAAGAGACAGTAATATTTGCTACTCCACTGCTGCCCACGCCTTGCTAACGCTGGTAGGCATGTGCGCTGGTACACTTGCACATACAATTGGTCTCTGGCTAACATGTGCACACACTCGCATTTAGAACGTGTCTGCTTCCTGTAGGCAGAGAGAAGAGATTCGCTGCTGTCTAACTGATTGGACCAGTGATGGTTTTTGGCCTTCATACGACCAAGCCATGGAGCATTACTCATATTCCTGGAGGGAGGAATGTTTTTGTAGTATTTCATTTTCTGTCATGCAGCGCTCTTATGAATTATTCACTATTGTGATTTCACCGTATGTATATGATGTCTGGTGGTGCCTGAATTTTGTCGGCGTCTGTTTTGCCTGGGTTTTATTACCACATCTCCCACTGGTGCTGCTGCCGTTGCGTTCTGAAGAGTTGAAGCGTGGATTGCGTTCACACTGCCTCTGTGTTTGAGAAGCTTGGATAAAGGAGTCTGATACATTAACATACTACATTTTCTCTGAGAAGAACCCTCAAGTGCTCTGTGGATGACTTCCTTCATCATTGTGGCTAATGAAACCAATCCCCTCACTCTTTTTAACCCCCCTCCCCCATACTGTCCTTTCATCTGCTGTGCATAAAGTATTGACACAACATCCTGCGGGCACTTCCTGTCTCTTCTGCCTTCATTTCCTGTTTTCTCTGGGCAGCTCGCAGAGAGTTTCTGCCTTACAGTTTTGGTGATTGACTGGGGATCCATGTGTAATGTTGAGTGGTGCTTACTAAGGCAGGCATCACTGTTAATATAGCGGTTATTAATATTGCTATTTTGTATAAAACCTTAACTGTAAGTCTTAAACTTCAGGGCATAGCTCGTTTTGCACTGTGTGTGCTCCAGAGATGATGTAGAGAGATGAGTAATGAGTTGTGCTAGTTTTACTTTCACTTTTCTAAGCAATTTGATTTTGTCGGAGGGCTCTTGACTCTTGACTTGTCAGTAATAAATCACCCTATCAACAACATATTTGTTTCTTATACTTTTACGTATATGAACGTACATGTACGTTTACCACTGGAAATTTCCCTCGTCTATTAGGCTGTTGCCCCTGTAACCCTCAGTCCCTGACCTAGATTCCCTTCAGCCATCAGTCTCAAGAGGACACACAGTAAGCAGCTCACTCACATCATATCAAGAAATACTACACTAGTCAAACTGAGGACTAGGGATGGGTATCGTTTACATTTTATGGATACCGATACTGCTTATCGATACTGGTACTTATCGATACTGTTATCGATACTTTTTGGTGCAAAAAGATATGAAGTGAAAAGTTGATGAAAATTTCAAGCTATTTTATTACTGCTGAACTTTAGCAACTGTATTAAAGTTCTTCAGTCAAGAGCAGCGAGTTATTTTCCTCTTCCTCTTCCTTGGTGTTTTGTTTTATTTTATTAAAATTAAAGGAATAGTTCACCCAAAAATGAAAATTGTCAACATTTACTCACTCTCAAGTTGTTTTATTACTGATGTTTTAATTGTAATATTAGATTAACTTTATTTTCCAAAAAATTAAATTTGTTTAATTTTCATTACTTAAAAGATAGATTAAATGAATATTTTATGCCTTAAAAATGTAAATACACAACAGAATTTCTGAGCAAAAAAGCATAAGGCTATTGTAAGAATAAATGAAACTTGTTTTTATGCTTTCAAATAATTAGACATGCTAAATCAGAATTTGGTAACAATAAAACATAAGGTTGGAAAAAATAAAACATTTCATAGTGCCCTAAACATGTAATTTTTTTTAAACTTTTAATAAATTTGTTAGATTAAGTTTCATGATTTTAATTAATTTAGACATGCTTTTTGATTAATAAAATTTAATTTAACCATTAAAAAGGAGTCCAGAAAAAAAAAAGCTGTAAACCTAGGGGAAACACTGTAATGTGTTTCTGCAATATATTTCTAACATTTATAATGTGTTTAGAAACAATTCTCAGATATCTCTTTACACAGACTTTAAGGAGTGTTTTCAGTATTTTAATTGCTAATGAATATTGCTGTAAAATTTCACTGCTATTGGTATTGAGTACTGAACTGTTGATATGGTGACAGGTTCCTTGAGTTGTGAAGTATGTGAGGTTTTTTTTAGCCTAAAAATCATAAAAACACAGCAGAAAGGCAGTCATGGAGCACTGAGCCATTTTTGAAAAGACAGATGCCACATGGTGCAGTCATTTTCTTTGATGTGCTTTGTCGACATATTGACGTCATTAAAAATCTCATGGGCTTGATAAGAATCGAAATGTCATTTTAGGAAGCCAGAACTTTTTTCTGGAAAACCAAGCACTACATTTGCATAGCAATTCTTTGAAACAAAGCATGTTTCATCAATAGAAATGGTTGCCAATTGGTCGCACATTGTGATTTGAGACCTTTAAAACCTTGCTTGGTCATGGAAAGAGTTTGTACCCAAGACTCCTTCAGAATGTTTGGCTC